CCGGAAGTCACAGCGACGGCGATGGCGGAGCGTGCACGGCAGGATGATATTATTCGGAATAAGGTGATATCGTGCGTGAAATATGTAAACACCGGTCGATACGCGATATTTACGATATTGGAGAATGCGGCCTGCGCGCACATCGTTGTTCGGCACGGCCGAGATCCAAATTACGAGCTGGCAATTCGCGGGGGTGTCCGCGCGAATGTGTGCGTAACGCGCGCAGTGCGTTCTAACGACGTGTACCGCGATAATTTGACCCTTACGGTGTAGCGAGCTGGTTCTCTCCCCGTCGGGGGAATAAAAACGCCGTAATTTCGCGCGTTGTTTCCAGGGAATAGCCGCGCGGCCCGGAATTTCGATTCGATATCCGGCCCGTAATCGCCGGTCGTTTGTACGAGAGCCGGACGAAGTATTCGATTACCCGCGACAAATTTTTCATCGCGCGCGCTTCCCGTGCGATCCGGGGAGGGGGGGGAGGGGGGAACTGATTTCGCGAAATGTGGAGAACGCACGATCTGATCGCGCGAAATTCGCGAAGTCGATGTAACCGGGATCTCGGGGAGGGAAAAATACCGATGTGTACGGCGAGCGCGCAGAGGGTTTCCTTCGATATATTTGAGTGTAGCACCTTTTTCTTTCGGTGTACTGCGTTATCGTTTATTTCCCGTCGGATAAATAAGCAGTATTAATGATTAACAGTATTTTAATACATGTGACGTTGATAATATTAATGAGATAACATAATATCAATGATTGAACGCGAATCATTCATAAGTTCTCCGAAATCATATCGCGTTGTCTCTCGTTGCGAAAAAAAAAATGAGAAATACTCTAGAAATCTTTCAATGTCCGACGATCAATGAGACGTCGTTGAGAAGCGTGCACAGCTGCGGAAGGGAACTATTTCCAGCAATTTCTTTAATCGAGGAAAAACGTTACTGTTTTTGTGCTATCAAATAACATGATTTACTCCATCGAAACAACATATTCGTTAAAAAAAAAAATGATATTTGATATTAAATCATGTTGTTTATATTAAACCACGTGTGCTAAATCGTAATCGTAAATATTTGCTGAAGAATATTGGAGTAATTACAAAATAAATGTTATTTTATTTTAAGTAAATACTACTTTAATTTATATTTAAATGCAACATTCTTCCAGTGTGCTACATTCAACTAACACAATCCTTCGATACTCCTCAGCAAATATTTATTTGAGTATAATACTTTCTTCTATCCAGTGTACGTAAAAATGATTACGACGTACTTATATATTACTTATATATATATATATATATATATATACATATCACGCAATATCGTAAAACGAATTTTAATACGTCGCGTTACACGTCGTAAAGCTACGGCGAGGTAATAACGTTCCCGCGCCAATGTATCTCATACGACGAACTTTACGTCACTTTGGAACGTCGCCGCGCCG